AGAAAGATAGGCCATGGTCATGGATCGAATGTAATCAATACAGGATGATATTGCCAAATATATAGACAATCAGGTGATCAGTGGGAGAGAAGAGAGTCCAGTACCAGACCCACACATGTACAGTCAAGTGGTTTTTGATGAGTGTCATCAGAATTCAACGGGGAGAGAAATCTTTGTTTTTCTTCAAGAATGGTCCTGTCTAGATATCCATGTGGGGAAAATATAAGCCTCAACCCTGAGCTCCCACTACCCTCCAAAATCAACCAGAGGTGGGTCATGGCCCCATGTGTAAAAATCAAGATTCTAGGAAAGAAGGAAAAACAGAAGGTATTTTTGTGACCTTGGACTACGCACAGCTTTATTAGAGAGGACACAGAAAGAACTAACCATACAAGAAAAGGCGATAAAGTGAACTTCTCGTCGTTCCATGTTCGCGTCCTCTCCTCTCTCCGCAGCCTCCTCCTCCTCTGAGGCCTTCCCTGAGCCTCCTGTCGCAGCTGTCACCCCACTTTGGCTATGGCCCTGTCATTAGAGAAGGACTCCCACCTGCTTAGCTCTTCCCAGCCCACAGCCCGGGAGGCCTGCCCCAGGAGACACTCCCACGAGCGCATCCCCTCATCTTGTGCAGTGAGCAGCCCTGTGCCCCACCGTCCCTGGATCCCCTCGGGGCCCTGTGAGGACAGATTCTCTGGACCTGCCTGGCTACCATTGGACAGAGCCTCCTCTGCCTCGCCTGTCCTCCCTCATAGCCCTGGCCAACTCCGCTGCATAGACCACTAGACCCTGGCCTGCCCGGGACCTTCAGAGAGAGAGGCCCCAAGCGCAGGCGGGCAGCTCAATCAGACAAAGGCTCTGACTGCAGCTGGAAAGCCCTTTTCACAAATCTTTGTCCATCCAAACCTGGCTTGCCTTTCAAATTTATGTCACCACCTCTGGGAAGCCTTCCAGGATTGCCCCCAGTCGAAAGTAGCTTTCCTTTCTCTGACCCCCTGCAGTAGAGAGGGCAGTGGCTACGAGCGTGGGGCCCAGTTTCTCCATGTGTAAGTTGGGAATGTGAGGACTGAGACGATCCAGGTGAAGCGCCAGCACCCTCCCGGCACACAGTAGGCACTTAGTCAATGGCAGCTGTTCATCATGATGTTATGGTCTCCCCCTCCACCCAGGCAAGACCACAGCTCCTCAAGCTCTGGCTCACAGTAGGCATCTACTGAATGCTCACCCCGCTGACCAGCAGGTGGCCCCACACCCTAATTAACCTGCCCTGCCCAGCTGCTCTGAGCCCAGCTGCTTCTCCTGGTCAGGCAACAGAGGGCAGGGCTAGCAGAGCCCGGGCAGATCGGCCTGTCACCGAGCAGGCATGTGGGCTGCATGGTGAGCAAGGCCTTCGGACTTGGTCCCCCTCTCCCTGTCTCCACCACCGCACTGCCCACCTTGGGAGGATTGCTCCCATTTAAGAGATAAGAAAACTGAGGCCCAGCAAAGTGTTTGATACGCCCGAGACCACAATCTGTCAACTATCCCTGATTCATCAGTGTCTCATTCTGCTGATGCGGAACCTCAAACCGTAGAACAGCCACCCCAGACCCTTCAGTGCCAGGGGCAGTGGTTAGAGCATGGCCCTGCCACTGAAGGGTCTTGGGTTCAATTCCCAGTCAAGGGCACGTACCTGGGTTGCAGTTCACTCCCTGCCCCCAGTCAGGGCACCTGCGGGAGGCAACATGTCGATGATTCTCTCCCACTGTCTCTCTGAAAAGGAATGGGAAAAATGCTCTCAGGTGAGGATGACACCAACAAAACAGCCTTGCCCACAGCTTCCAGCGGTTCTCAACCTTTCTAATGCCGCGACCCTTTCATACAGTTCCTCATGTTGTGGTGACCCCCAACCATAAAATTATTTTCGTTGCTACTCCATAACTGTAATGTTGCTACTGTTATGAATCATCATGTAAATATCTGATAGGCAGGATGTATTTTCAGGGGTCGCGACCCACAGGTTGAGAACCGCTGATTGTAAATCAAAGCGCGGGTCTCCTGGCTCTAAACAAAATAACCCCACACGAAGGGCGGGTGGTGGGCTTCCCAGACCCCTCCCTGCCTGCAGGCCTCCACCCCAGGGGGCGACCATGCAGGCTGCCCAAAGGGACAAAGGGAGGAACGTCCCAGCTGGCTGCGGGGCAGCTGTGAGGACGCACTAGGGGTGCGAAGGGCTCGGCGGCCAGGTCCGGAGACAGCTGCCCGGGCTGTGCCCGCTCCCTGCCCGGGCGGGAGCTGC